AGAGAGAGAGAGAGAGAGAGAGAGAGAGAGAGAGAGAGAGAGAGAGAGAGAGAGAGAGAGAGAGAGGTTGATGACGACCAGCAACACGGAGTGCGCTTCACGACGAACAGCAACAGGGCGCTTTCCAAACAGCATCGAATCAAGCGAACGAACGAACGAACGAACGACAGTGGATTTCTGACACGCCAGTACGTGATAACGCGGCTTGACAACTTGCGCAGGTCACGGGCAGCTTAGGGGACTCGGTTTGCCCGTTGGGAAGCCCCTGAACAGAACGGCCCGACAACGGGCAGCCTTCCGGAACTGGTTGACCCGTTGGGCTGTTTCTCCCCGATGGCCGAACAGGTTCGATCGCGGCCGTCGGCCTCTGCCAGATCGATGGTCCAGTTGGGCGCGGTTTGGTCTTACACGCGCCTGACGGCCGAGATCTTAGATTTATTACATGGTGCGGACTATCCAGGCCGTGAGCCTGTAGGACTGACGATGGCCTGTAGGGATAGTAGTGTAGGGATGTTGATTTGCTTGAAAATGTTCTGGCCTCGGCCTCAGTCACTGGGGCGTTGGATGAAAAAAAAAAAAGAAAAAGATGTACGGCTTTGGAGAGGAAACTCATAGCCATACCAACTCTCGAAAATCGGTGTCAGAAAAATTTTCGAGAGTGGCCAGAACGTGGGTTTCAGGAGTGCTCGCCAACTGTGGTCCTTGCCCGGCCTGCAAAGTTGCCTCTTTCGGGAGTGCTCGCCAACTGTGGTCCTTGCCCGGCCTGCAAAGTTGCCTCTTTCGAGAGTGGTCGAAGGCACCTCCGATTTTGGCCCGAATTTCGAGTGTGCCGCGACGGACAACCATCTGCGGCCAGCGTTTTGTCGTGTTTGGTTCGAGAGACTCTCGAACCGAGGCCTCTGTCCACTACTCACCACATGCACAAAAGACAAAACATCATGCACAAAAGACAAAAAATATGGCGGTGTATCTTTCCATGGTCTAGGAGAAGATTCATTCTCATTTTGCACATTTGGTGAGTAGTGGAGCAAGGCCCTTGCACCGCCACACTGCGCTCTCGAAAAACGTAGCTCTTCTCCGACACAGTGGAGAGCGCCCCCTTCGAGAGCGCAGTGCGGCGATCAGGCCTCTCGAACCGTTTTTCGTTATTTCCCGAGTTCGAGAGCGCTCTCGAACATTTTCCCGTTTTCGGGATAGGTATGGCGAGGCCCTATCTATGCATAATTCGTTCTTGTAGTCGGTAATCCATGCCGTACTTCTGCTCAGATAGCATATCAGAGTCAGTCTAACCACACTATAATAAGGGCGACTCATCATCAAAGGTATTCACCACCTTTTTCGCCGGACGGTTCATGTACCCTGAAACCTCTCTTATAGATGGTGGTGAGCTGGCTTCTTGCCAACTTGCCTTCTTCTTCCACTCAAATCATGCGTCTCTCTCTACCCTCTTTTTTCCCGGCCTCTAGCCCTCTCTCACACCTTAACTCTGATGTGACCCTCCTTTACTCTCCCTTTCTCTCTCTCTCTCTCTCTCTCTCTCTCTCTCTCACACACACACACACACACACACACACACACACACATCCCGACACTGGGTGCTTAACCAATAGCTCGATCAGCCGAATCATCGATTGTCCCGATCTACGGATTCGATTGCTTGGTTGGGAGTTTGGCATACGAGAGGTATAGAGCCTGGTCCAAGGACATTGAGATATGCATTAATATGGCTGTGGTTCCTGATGGCCATATGTCGCCTGATGGCCATATGTCGCCTGATGGCCATATGTCGCCATCGTTTTCTCTTCTCTTTCAAATTTTAAAATTTCATTTGATGGTGGGTCGACGGGAGAAGATGGAGGAGAAGGGGCGGAGATTTTGTGGGGGTAGGGGGGCGGGGGGGACCACAGAGAAGGGGAATGATGCTGGAGTCTTGGTGGAACGGAAGCCGGAGAGAGATTGTGGGGTTGGGGGGAGGAGCGAGGGAGGAGCGGTGGGGAGAGAGGGGAGTGGGATCTCCCGCGATAGCGTGGTTCTAGGTTCGTCAGCTGAGTTGGGTACACGTCATGCCAGGTCAGTAGGGAAGGACAAGCCAGATCATATACCTTATCTGCTCCTGATTGGCTGGCTGGTTCTTGTTGCCTGTGGTCTTCGCAATGATATTAAGCGTGGATTCGTATGTCGAGGACAATCTTCTCCCGGAGCTGGTTGGAGCCAGAGGAGGAGGAGGAGGTGGTTTTCCGTCTGTCGATGATCTGCTGCTGAAGCTTGTTGGGGGCGGGAGATTCCCGAAGGAAATGACGGAAGATGCTGTCGGTCGGGGCCGGCGTTGCCTCGTTTGGAAAACACCCCCTGCCAGCAACCCTGGATGAGACTTGGACGTAGCAGTCGCCATCACCGGTACGGACGCTGATCTACCAGATCGACTCACCAACCGATCAGTTGGCAGTGGGCTCACCAGAGCCGTTGATGGACCTGCGCTCTGGGCTTCGTTTGGCGTCCAGTCCGAGACACCCCCCCTTCCCCCAATTCTAGGCTTCTTGCTGTCATTTGTATTTGATTGCAGTTCCTTGTCCACCGCCTCCTCCACCATTGCTCCTCCTCCTTCCGTGCTGGTGGACAGACGAAATTGCTGAGGTGATGAGGGGTCTGACGCCGCGGGAGAAGACGAAGAACCTGGCCTCCGATGGTCGCGCGCACGGAAATAAGACGAAAAACTGGTCACCGGACTCTCCGATCCTGTGCCGACAACCCCCTGACTTCCTAGCGCAGACATGCGCCGCCTTCGTATCCCGCCGTGCATTCCGCTTCCGCCACCGCTACTGCCAGTGGTATTACTGTTATCGTTGTTGCTGTTATTGTTCGTCTGTTTGATGGCAGCAGTAGCATCACCACCTCCGTCGAGCCGATCGTTGTTGACGCGAACGTCGTCAGTCCGAGCTTGAGAAGGCATTCTCGCGCGCTGCTCCTGCTGCGGGGCCATAATGGGTAAACTTCCCCACGACAGGCCACGTGGCAGAGATGGCCCGCTAGGTGCAGTCACGCTCTGCCGCGCAGGAATCCCCGGCTGCGCAGGCCCGCCAACAGCTGTAACAGGAGCGGACAAGCTTTGTCTTGCCGCGTAGAGAGCCTGCGGGGCCGCATTGCGCCCACCTCTTTCTGGTCGTTCTTCGGAGACTGGCGGCCCTTCATCTCCCCCTTCCTCCGCCTGATCTCTGTTCTCTGCACCAGCCATACCCTTCCCCATGGAGCGGCTCACACGCCGGCATCTCTTTGCAACAGCAGGCAGCACAGGCGACGTCCGCAACAAGTCCTCCGTCGTCGGCACTGCTGACAGGGCATCTATGTCGAATTTTCCCGCCGAGACTACTACGAGACTGCTGCCGTCATCATAATCCGGGTGATCGTTTACATGAGTCTGACCGCTTGTTTCTAGTCCCACCACCCTTGGCGATCGCTGAGGAGCGGCAGCAGCATCGGCAGTAGGAAGAGGAGGAGGGGGAGGAGAAGGAGGAGATGAAGGAGAACTGCCTCTGGCCGTTGCGTGCTGACTCTCCCTTCGCGCCACTGCGCTTGTCAACCATTGCTGATCAGCGAGACCTCCTCCGGTCGTAGTCCCCTCAGAGTCCAGAAACGACGGAGGCGGAGCGTGTTCGACGGCATTACCATCTTGGCGCCAGGAAGGACTGCTCGCCTGTGATGCTAACTGTGGAAGAGGGAGAGTGGGTACCAATCCCGGACTAGCAGGGAGAGCAGGAGTGGTGGGAGGATGTCTTGGCGGCGATAATGGCTGCGGCTGCTGGGGATACAGCTGACGTGTGTCGGCGGAGACACGTCGGGGCCGGGGGGCGAGCGGGATGCCCTGCAGCCGGGATCTCGGTGTCGTCTGCCGAGGGCTGACTGCTCGGACGATAACCGCGTCGCCTGTGCCTCCTTGTTCGCTGTCGGAAAGCAAAACCTCGCCGCTGTCTGTTCTATTCCCGCCACTTCTTTCGTCATTTCCCAGGGGTTCTCCTGGCAAACTCGCTACGGTCGCTGAGTGCGGAGGTAATGGGCGGGATTCCAGCGCCGGCGGCACAGGCGCAGTCTCAGGACGTTCTCCACCGCTGGACCCACCCGTGGAATCTGACGGCGACGGCGGCCTTTCGCGCTCTAGGGGGGAGGTTACGGGGTCATCGACCTCCCCTGACATGTCCCCTGACTGCCGCAGATGCAGAAAGGACCGTCGATGCTGTCCCCATCATCGCTCGGCCGCCCAGCAGTACCACATAAGACCCGTAGCATTCTTTTCTGCACTCACACGAGCCTGGTCACACTGCCGACCGATACACGTCATCACCTTGCTGACTCAATTTTGAGAACCAGTTGATCGTCAGTGTCGCTCCCGGGGTCATACTACCAGCATCACGACGGATGCAGTGGATACGGACGCCGCTGGTTAGCAGATTACCTGAATGAATGATTCTTTCTTCTTTTCCAGGTAACAGAGTTATTCTATTCAAATGCGCGCAGGATTGGAACTCAGGTCAACTTCTCAACAGTTACATGGGTGTACCATTCAGCCAATTGGCTGGGTGAACGATTCACGATTCTTGATCCCACGTGTCTCTGTCGTGCGCGCTGATGATCTCTGGCCCATCCTTGGTCGCCACGTATCCGTATGGCAGCTATCCTTCACGTGTTGAATGAACAATTCTTGATCTTACGTCTACATACGCACGAGATTGGGAATGGTACCTGACATAGTCAGGGCGCGACCGGCATTTCTTTCCTTCCAAGGAACGAGAGAACGAGGAGGACAGAGAGGATTTCCCGTAAATGGAGGCGATTGCATATGGGAGAGAAAACAACTGGCGCGGTCGCGCGAGAGCCTGGGTTGTTGCTCGGGCCGCAACGGCAACTCAACCACATATTGCTTGCTATCTGATGTACACGTGGCGTTACCACTAATGACCACGTCCCACCACCACCACACTTAGTTTCACTTGATGCAACAAGGGTGCGTCCATCCACTTGATACTGGCAACGGAGTGCTGCTGGGAGACGTTCCTGCCATGCGAATGGTCGTGTCAGGGACAAATGGTCCCTAACGGTAATGTCTACCGGTAGGACAAGCGGTGCTAAAGGGTCGTGCGTAGGACGGGGGGTGCCAAATGGTCGTGCCTGGGACAAACGGGATCAGAGGGCCGTGCCTGGGACAAGCGGGATCAGACGGCCGTGCCAGGGACAAACGGGATCAGAGGGCCGTGCCTGGGACAAGNGCCGTGCCTGGGACAAGCGGGATCAGACGGCCGTGCCAGGGACAAACGGGATCAGAGGGCCGTGCCTGGGACAAGCGGGATCAGACGGCCGTGCCTGGGACATGTGTTACCTAGTCGTCGCGCGTGGGACAAGTGGTGGCAAACGACGGTGCGTGGGACAAGTGTGTGCCAAACGGCCGTCCCTGGAGCAACGGTCGTGCCTGGTGCAACCGGTGCCAAACGGTCGTGCCTGGGACAAGCGGTGGTGCTAAACGATCGGGGTTGGGACACATGGTGCGAAGCGGTTCCGCCGCGAAGTTGGTAGCCAATGAGCTGAGTGCAGGGGGAAAAGAGCCCTTAGGGCGTACTCATACTCCAACTGGCTTATGGCCATATCTGACCATAATTTCGGCTAGATGCAGTGGAAATAGTACTACCTAGGCAGCATGAGAATGCTGCTCGTGCGTGGTGCCGTTGTATTGCTCCCCCCTGTTACAGCAGTGTGCTATATGGTGTGTGTGTGTTTTGTCATGTTCGCTCGACACAACTCCACAAAGAAAAGAGAATGACTGTGCAAGACTTCGTCGGAGTTTCACCGACTCATCAGGAGGTTTGTGTGTGCGTGTGTGTGTGCGCGTGTGTGCGCGTGTGTGTGCGTGTGTGTGCGTGTGTGTGTTGTGATGCTCGCTCTTCACAACTTCACGAAGGTGAAACGAGCGCTAAGCTTGGGGTGCGAGAGAGAGAGAGAGAGGCTATATGATATGAAACGTACGGCAGGGGATGCATAGCTTCTCGAAGGAACGAGCGCTAATAAGACATCGTAGGAGCAGGCTATTTATAGCACTTGGGTATTCTTCGTCGGGGCAATCGGACCGTGATTAGAGGCGAACAAGAGATCAATCACCTTTCTGACTCTAGCTTCTAGCTGGTCGCGTTGTAGACTCTTTCTGTATCTCGTTCCTTTTCCAGCGAAGATGCCGTGCAAGTGCGGACACCCCGGGTGCGCGCCCAGCGACTGCAAGAAATGGAGTGACTAAGCTGCCGGACACCATCGCCATCGCTACGGATAAGTGAGGGGGCAAGGCGATGGGGACGGGGCGAAGTCGGGGCCATCACAGCAAAAGGATATTGACTGAACTGCCTCGTGCAGTTGTTTTTGCTGCCGGGTGCCCATCAGCTATGGCGATGGCGATGCGACGAGGATGAAGATGAAGATGAAGATGGCACGCCTGCTGCATTCTCCGCTAATGTGCCCATCGCCATGGCGATGTTGATGGGACGGCTGAGTTCCTCTCCGATGCGCGCCGAGCTGGTTAGGACTATATCGGTAATGTCGACGACTTGGAATTGGCGCCGGCACTGCTATCAGGAGCTCTGGAATTGGGAGCTTCATCAACTCGGCGCGCAGTTACCCTCGCGGCTCGCAGATGCGGTTGCTGGAACGAGCACTGACTTTGGTCTCTGCAATGAAGGCACCATAGCGTCTTGAATTGAAGGCGGCCTTTCCTTGATTGAGGAGCCGTTGATCTGCGTAGTGGTGAGCGCAAGTCGATCTGTTCTTGCTTGCCTAGGGGTCAACGGTGCTTCATAGCGGTTTCGATTGTGATCCTGGTTCTATTTGTGCTGGCTCTTGTCCTCTTCTGGTTCTGGTTCTGGTCCTAGTCTTACTGATTCTTGTCCCGGTCCCAGTCCACCTAAGCCCCAGTGTGCGTGGAGCAACGGTGTTGTCCTCCAGCTCGGTATTTTCATCTCGCAGCCGTTGCAGTGGGATGAAGGAGAATTTGTCCACATCCTGAACACCAATTGGTTAAAAAACAAAACAAAAAAAAAAAACCTTGAAGGAAAAGGGGACGAGCTGCGACTCGAGGATCCGAGAAGACGATGAGGGTTCGTTGGATGTTGCTTTTCGCAACAGCTGCAACGATCCTGATGAACACGACCATTCTGCTTTGGAAAGTGGAATGGCTGGTCAAACACTCCAGTGACGTGTCATCATCTGCAGCTTCGCAATCGCGGCCACCACAAATCGGGCATGACAACGTTGTCGACAGGGCGGCATTTTTTATTAGCACGGGAGAACCGCAGGATGAACACGATGGACGTGGGTGGTTTGGGCAAACGGAGGAGAAGGAAGAGGAGCAGCAGCTGGAGGAGGAGAAGGTATTAGAGGGACCTGATAGCCAAGAATCGGACGAGGCTCTCAGCACATCTAGCTACTACTTCGATTTTGACGTGAAGCTGACCGGGAGACCGATTCCGGAAAAGTATCCATTAGAACTTCCAGTCATAACGTCATTTGCATCGTCAGATCTTATGGATACTGTTCGAAATTTTGTCGGCTCTGTTCACCACTGGCACCCCGAAGTGACAGTCCATCTTTACCAGATCAGCGAGCTCACGGTCCGCGAGAAATCAGAGATATCTACGTGGAGCAAAGTTGAGCTGTTCCCGGCAACAGACGTCCTTCTCACCCTTTCCAATGACCGATCAATTCCTTCCTCCAAAGGTATATTGCACAAACTTCGCCATAGCCTCCTGTCCTCCCCCTCCTCGCCATCCTCCTCTTCCTCCTCAGATCCTAGGATCTCGACAGTGGTGAGCGCTGCTTCGGCAAAAGGCACTGTTGTGTTGGGTGATAATTCCTCTTCACTGCTGAATGAGCACTTAGTTATAGGGATTGAGTCAAAAGTTGGCACGTCTTCCCGGCCAATTGAGCAAAATGCCGTGTCATTGGGATTGGACCTCGGGGCAACCACCGCTGCACTGAACTCAATCCACAATCCACGTCCAGAGTCGGGTAAGCTTCAAGAGGGACCACATGGTCTGACGGAACGACAACCTTCTTCTTCTTCAGCTAGTAAGCTAGAAAGGGGAGGAAGCCATAGCGGAGAAGGGGGCTCGAACGCACTTGGGGAAGGAACAGAACACAACAGGTACACACATGATGACCTCGCCTCGATTGCGATTTCTTCTGGTTTTTCGAATGGCACACCTCTTTCTCAATATGATGATGATGAGGAGGAGGAGGAGGAGGGGCAAAGGGAGGACGATGGGCAGGGGGAGGAGGTGGTGAACAGGAAGCAAATGTCTGTTGCACAGTCCGGAACAGCTGACGTCCTGCTGTTGGGCTCAGATAGAGGGGCAGCGACGAGCGAGCTTAACGAGCATGCTAGATTAAGTGTAAGTTCGGCCGAGAAGTTGCATCGGCTTCCAACAGGCAGAACTGCTGATCTAGCTGCTCTTTCCGTAGCTGTGGATCAGGTACTCGGATGGATTCCCTTAGCCTTATACCATGCGTGCTCAACGCTACCATCGAGTAAACCAGCTTGCCTATTTCTGGACCCCTCGACGTACATAGATGGATGGATTGACAATGTATTCAAGGCTCTAATGAGGGACGGGTCGTATTTCCTATGCCGGGAGGATGATCACTCCACTACTCCCAACAATTTGGACGCGAGGAGCAGGAGCAGGGGATGTTTCGTTGGTGTTCAAGGCTTTGTCAAGGGCATGAAGCCGTTCGAGAACCTTCTGTCCAAGCATGTCCAATGTGCGTTGCAAGAAGATTGCAGTGAGAGCAACAGCAGGAGGAAGACCAGCAACACCACAGGGTCCCTCGTGGCACATGCATTACTAGGAAATGGAAATGGTGGCAATGTTGGCATTCACAACCATAACAATGATGATCATGATGACGACGACGATAGTGATCACCGCCAGAAGTGGACGGAACAGGAGATGTTGATGGAGGAGGGCCATGCCACCCCAACCCCAAACCCAACCCCTGACAACTGGTGGGGTGTTTCCCCGGACAGTGAACTGAGTGTTTCATGCCATGCTAGATCTCAGGCTTCCATCACGATTGCCAACAGCGACAGGCACTCCATACTACTAGCTGAGAAGGACGAACGTGCTCGTCGCCCCGCTCTGCAAATGCACAAGGACCATCGGCAGCTACAGACACACCACGAGTTTCACGCAAGAACCGTGATTGGCTATGGTCAGGAAGTCGGTAGCAGTCTTGAGCTTGCTGATGAGGAGGATTGGGACGGTGATCTGGATGAATTGGAAGGGGGAACGACAGCTGGGACAACCGGTAGACGCCACGTGCCGGGGAACAGCATGCTATCTCCACCGTCTGTGACGGGCCAAGGGAGCCATCTCCCCCTCTTTTCTTACTCTTGCAGCCTCGTACTCAGAGAAGATGTGCCCGGAGAAATCGACTACCAGTCTCCGTTGCCTGATCGCATTAATCTGGGGTCGGTACCTGTGGATAAAATCATTCATTTAGCTGTCGGGATCGCGTCCACAACATGGGGGTCCCATTTGGTTAGCGCGGACTCTCTGCCACTTCTAAACATCTTGCTGCCGTCTCTTCTTGCCAACGTCGACCGCAACTCTGACCGGTACCTGTACGTGCTTTACCTCGGCTATGATGTTGCAGATGCTGTGTTCGGAGATCAGCAGAACATGCTTCTCCTGCGCGCACGCGTCAATGCTCTTATACAAGGCTATCCTGTGGCCTTCAAGACTGTTCGGTTTCCCTGCTCAAACAGACCAACGTTTGTGTGGAACGGGCTGTTTGGAATAGCTATGGAGGAAGGAGCAGACTACTTCTTCCAGGCCCACGATGACACGGAGTTTACCCTGCCCAGAGTTCCGGATTGGCAGTGGGCGGATGCTCTTGTGAGGGCCCTAAGGTCAAACCCCTTGTGGGAGAACCTGGGGGTCGCAGGCCCTTTTGATGTCCGCTCCCCGAGGGCCATCTCGCATTGCTTCGTTCATCGAACCCATATGGACATTTTCGGCGGTCTATTTCCCACCTCCCTGGGGAACAAGGAGCATGAAGAGTGGGTCAGCAGAGTGTACGGCTACAAAAATACCTTCCTACTCAGGCAATTGCCCGTGAACAACTGGGAGAAATTCTCGGGGAGAGCACAGCAATGCGGAAAGTTGGTACGGGTGCGTAGGATACAGAGAGAGATCAGAAAAAGTGCGGACAAGATTAGGGCGTGGGTCTATCACCAAGTGGGGCGATACCATCAGGGAGGGGAGGAAATAGGCCACCTTTTCGTGAGCTTATAGTCCAAGGTGGCCGTACCCGGAGGCGCTGCATATCAGATGGCTCCCGCCAGTGGCCCTGGTGAGAGTCTTGGAAGTGAAAACGACACTCTTCGGTATACCAATGGAGAATGACGAGGGGCTGATGGACCCAGCCGTGGATAAGCTGGCCAGATGGAACCGCAAACGCACCTCTCTACTAGGGCCGGCCTTGTTGATCAATAGTGTGGTGCTGGCTTCTATCTGCTAGTATCTGGTACAAGTCCATGTTGTTCGCAGCCCGTCAGGGTTGCGTTTTTTCCCCTTGAGACATTTCAACGTCTTTGAAATTTTGTACGTCGGTGGACGTTCGGGAGGGTAGGGTAGGCATTTTGAGGTTTCGGGGCTTAGCAAGGGGCGGGGCATGCGAAGGACCAGTAGCTGCCCGTAGGAGGCCACCGAGGTCGGTACTTAGTTTTGAACATTCCAAAATAGAAGCGGTGTGGGTCCACTTTTCTCCAATGGAAGAGCAGTTCGGATAGAACATATGTGCGATGTGTTCGGATACATGTACCCTTTCTACTCGAATTTCGAAAAGGAAAAACTATTGTGTTCCAATTGCATATTACGCCACTGACATGGTGCATGCTGTAGGGCTCTCCCTCTCTCTCTCTTACACACACACACACACACACGCACACACACACACACACACACACACACACGCGCGCGCACACACACACACACACACACACACACACACACACATTTTGTTGTCTAGTGGTGGGGAGCGGTGTCGAGCGCATCGGCCCCCTCGTGAGCGAGGGCCCTCCCGGCTATGTCACACAGGAGTTATAACCAAACAAAATTAAGAGACAACTTAGGACGACGCATAAGTAATCCCGCGAACCGCCGAGACGGACGCGATTGCATTGTCCCTTCGTCGCTCTAGCCGGGTGCGCTTGTGGCGCCAGCCCTCCCACGCGTTGGTGGCACCTAATATGGTCACCCAGCAGGGTACTAGATTCAGCCTCCCCTTTCCCTGAAAGCGCGAGGAGGCGACTGCTCCTAGCTTCAAGACCCCCTACCCTCTAGGAAGTGGTTTAGAAACCCCTTCCCCTCGCCCGAACACATTGTTCAGGACTCAGAAGTTAGGCTGGCTACACCGCAACAACATGGTATCCCCCCGCATAAACGGTCCGCTCCGAGTCGATAACAGGGTCGGTCCCTAAGGCAACGAACCCCCACCTCGGATGCCTCCTAGAGAGAAGAAGCCTAGACCCTAGGTGCAGACGACCGCTCTATGCCTTCTCGGCTAAGGGGCGACTTAGACGAATTGAGAAGAGAAAAAGGTAAGATATTTTGGACGGGCATAGAAGGATAGTGGTCGTCCGAGATAGAACGGGGAAATCCTTGGGAAGATACTAAGGTGTTTCCTTGTCTTCTTTCCTTTTAATTTTCCCACGGCCGGGTGAATTTTCCCACGGCCTTAATTCTTCCGGCACCCGTCCGTTCGCACTCCCGTTATTATTTTTGTTCCTCCTCTTTTCTGTCACATGCATTCAAGTTGAGTGGGAGAGAGGTAAGCATCCCCATTATTATCTCGAGCAAACAATGTTGATTCCTTCTCGCATGCATCCCCCAACCTACCTGCACAATCAAGAAAAGAAACAATCAAGAGATTCATCAATCCCTCAAACAAGTCAGCCCTTTCTCCACACGAATGACATCACACTCTCACTCTACCCTTTCCCCTGAATTCAAATCAAGGTCATGCAAGGTGTGGGTTCACGCGGGTGTGCAACCGAGCTGAGTCGAACTGACCTTGAGTGAATTTCTTGAAGGCTCACTCAAGAAAGCCAAGTATTTGCTGAAAAAAGTTCGGCCGTAAAACTCTCGTTGTGGCCACTCACAAGGATGGGTCACACCCTCCTTCAACCGCCACCTCTGATTCAGGCGCCGCTCACCAACACAGAAGCGAGCCCGCCGTTGAGGAGGGCGTCACACTCTCAAATCCCACAGTCTCAATGTCACACCTTCCACCAAAGACAACACCGATTCAACCCACCAAATACCAAGTCAGGCCACCACCTGCCTGCCGCAATACTTGGTGGTCTCGGACCCAATCCCCGCTTACTCAGTGTGCCGCAAAAAAATAACAGCGGCCTTAACAGTCCTTACGAGTACTGCGTGCCGCAACGTCCTCAACAAGACGATCGCCACACTCTTTTTATTACAAAGTGCACTTCCACCTTAGCGGTATCGTCCCTGCGGCAACGTCCAACCTCCCTTCTCGCAGTCCTGTGCAAAATACTATTGCCACACAATCCAGTAGCACCCGCGCCGTACCGCCAAGAAAATCGGTGTTGCCGCTGCAAGAATTCGGCAGTGYTTCCSCTGTAYCGCCAAGAAACCCAGYGCTGCCGCCGCACAATTTCGGCAGCGCTTYCGCCGTACCGCCAAGAAACCAGCGCTACCGCCGCACCGTTTCGGCAGCGCTTCCGCCGTACCGCCCAATCCARCAGCAGTCTCAAGGCTACGGCTTCCCCACAGCCCGCAAYACAGCAYGGAAGGTGGGGCAAGAAGCTCCTAGCCTTTAGCTATGGYTGCCTCCTCCTTCCTCCAAGTGCTACTGCAGACCTCCAGCACTTCGCCTCATCACACCAGCAGCCAGYCAGCCAGCATCTACTCAAGTAGAATGCCSCAGCAGTATTGCCACAAGTGTGAGGCTGYTGGGTGGCAGGCTAGCTTTTATAGTTGGCTGAAGGCTGAGGGCAGCTACTTTGCCCCCAGCCAAATCTCGGAAYAGAGCCTGGCCCTGGATCAAGATCGTGATCAARGGCYAGAAAAACTTGATATTYCCYTAGGRGAACCAAGTCMTAAACCTTGGCRGYGCATCTRGCCTTCACCCGCGGCYARACGCAGCCCCGAAACGGTTGTACCAAGCCTTTTTCAAGCAGCAGACTGTTGAAACCAACAGTCTGCTATCTATCCATAGTCCAGATGCTTCTAAACTTGCATATGGTCCGAGGCCGCGGCTAGATCCGCGGCCGTTTCCCTCTTTTTTTTTTTCTAGCTT